ACCTCGGCCAACTCGTCAGAAACAACAGGGTCAGAAGCGCTCGGCTCGGAAGTAGTCGCTTCACCCCCTGGCTCCCCTCCACCACGAATCTCCTTCGACAAATCCGACATACCTCGATCGAACAGCTCCTTCTGACGTTTTCGCAAATGCCGACGCTGCTCACGAATGCGAGACAACCTCGACTGAAGATCGGCAAAGTCCTTCATCACCTTGTCCTGCAAGAACTCGATACGTCAAGATCGATCACGCAATGACGACCATGACGATGACAATTACCACAAGGCATTTCGGAAGGATGACCTTGGTCTTCGACAAGTACTGCTAAGGTTTTAGCAGCAGCACCCTTCTGGGCATTTCGCTGAGAACGAGACACACGACCTTGAGTCATGATGAATGATGAGAAAATGGAGGAAAGGACTCACCAACAATAGAACAGGGCGACACAGGGTTGTTAAGCAAGAAAGATAATCAGAAAAGGAAGAGCGTTGGGACACGGCAGGCATTAAGGGAGCGACCAACGGGTCTCGTTGGCACCCAAGCGACGGAACCAGATAAAGCGCTATTATAGCATTACACTGTGGCGTTGAGGACAAAGCCACAGAGAGGGGGCATCGTGTTACGATCCAACCAGGGATCACTTATGTAAGCTAGACTAGATAGAACCAACGGACCAATCAGGTAGGACCCGAAGGCCCGAAGGCACCGGGTCCCCGGGTCCGTGGTATCAGGACCCGAAAGGTTCGGGTCCCCGGGTCCGATATATCGGGTCCGCTGAAGGCCTGCATAAAAGAAGGCCTCCCGGCCTTCGTTTTATACTGGATCCTCAGCAAGCAATATATGGTTCTTCAGCAAGCAATAGATGGTTCTTCAGCAAGCAATAGCCACAATCAAGCAAGCAATAGCTATCACAATCGCCGACCTTTTGGCTACTACTCCGTTACCCTTTTGGCTACTACACTGTTACTCTATTGTATCCCAGCGAAATACTCCTGTGCCTGTAACGGTTCGTCACAGTATAGCGTCCGACTTCATCCACAGTCGCATCTCTGGCCCCGACTTCATCTTGAAGATAGGCCGCATTAAACCCTACAGACCAAAAGAGTTAGAGACACATCAACCTTGAGCACAAAGTATCCCTGGACATGAAATTCAGACGGTCGGTAATTTGGTGGCAGCCAGAGTACGTTCTGACCGTTGCAAGTAATCCAAGGCCTATCCTCTCCCAACCCATAGCCATGGCTCTCTGGATTATCTAGTACAACTTCGCTTTCGGTAGTTTCTGTAACTATGCTGATACGTCCAATGTCGGTAAGTAGATAGCGACTGGTNAAAGAGTAAGAGACACGTCAACCTTGAGCACAAAGTATAGGTATTCAGGAGCAAGAATCAATAGGTGAGATCGCACTTACCCAGCACATCTTGTGTCACAAATCCCAGGGCATCTATGCAGCTTGGTACGATGGTGTCAAAAGGTCCATCCGCCGCACATGGAACCGTTTGTCTCGTCCGCGTAGGCTCCCCAGTTCGCAACCATGTCGGCCTTCAAGTCCTTCAGACATTGGCTCGGCAAAAAGGAACAGTCGTGCGCAACGTCCGAGGCTGCAGCGTCAGGCAGGTCGCTGACATAGTAGTGCTGGCAGATGAACCACGAGGGATGCATGGCCTTGGGGAGGATGCCATCTGCCTTTCTCATGGACTGCGGGATGCCGTTGTTGAGAGCCGCCACGTCAATCACGGCGTTCTCCTCCGTCACAACGGCCGGGAAAGGCAGATGGTCCGCGATCCGCAAATGGGTGGTGAAGCCTGGCACCGGGCTACCCGGGTAGGGCTTTGTCCAGTCTAGCCCGGTGAAGTTGGTAATGTCCTCGCGGATGGGGTTTGCAAAGCCGGCTTCCACTGCGGACCAGGATATGGGGATGATGTTGGAGGCATTGGCAATATACGGGATGTTGTCAAAGTAAATGTACCTGGTGTCCGGGTCCTTCGCTGCCTTGGTGAGGTGGCCATGGCCGAAGAGCAATAGCGCCAGTGACAGAGCGCCAGAGCTGATGGCAAACTTGACGGACATGATGAAGAAGAAGAAGAAAAACACCCAGGCGGCTCGAGGTCCGGTAAAGAGATGGGTTGTATGTGTGTAGAGGTAATGGTGGAAGAATATCTTGGTTGTTCAACTTGGGAGCATGGCAACAGTTGGTTTTAAGAGAAGCATCCATACCTCTACCTAGATAAGGTAGGTGGCCATTGACCTTGAAGGCCTGGCCAAAATCATGTCCCCTTGGTTGTTGTACTTTTGCCTGACACTGGAGGTCTGGTACCTTGACTACCTACCTACCTCTAGACATGGATAGAGATACCTAAGGTAGGTAGGTACCTAGCTGCCGAAACCGGTCTGGATCATGCAGTTGTTTTCTGTCGAGGCCTGGATCCAGCACAAAGGGACCCGGGAGACGGAGATGATCCCCTTCAAGGGGTTAAGGCGGCACAGCAGTGTGATGTGGACTGCAGCGTGCCTGCGTAACGAAGGGTAGAAGGTATCAATCAGCCTTGCACATGGCAATCAGTTGATGTTGTGAGCGTACATAGAGGTAGAGTGGCGTGGGAGACGACGTAGGAACGGGGAGTCTGAACCAAACTAGGAAGGTGAAGGACCAACAGAACCTCAGTACGACATCGCCTAGGTGCAAAGCTTTTGGCTCTCGCTACACCTTGCACTAAGAAAAAGTAGGGGGTTCATGTTGTCGGCCCGCAAAAGCTTGTTGGTAATCAATTGTCCCCTGGGTCCTGAGAAGAAAAAATAGAAAAACACTGTGTCGACTGCAGTCTGGTGTTGGCTGTTGGTTCCTGAATGAAAAGCACTTTTTCAACCCTGCTGGCCGACAATCGAGACTCCATCGCCGTCTGGTCCGAGATTGTCGTTGAAGATTGCAGAACACCTATGTAACCTTCCTCATGCAGGATCGCCCGGCAAAACGGGCCCTTCTAGCGCGCGTACTACACTGCATAAGTACATGTAGTAGGTACATCTAGG